AGACGAACAAAGACGATTGTAGAGACCCCCCAAAAAAATGAATGTTGAGTGTCGAATTAAGAATCGACATCATAGCAGTCGGAACCCTCCCATAAGCGATCCGTCCACATCTTCAGCTGCGACAGAAGAGTTCCGATTCCGATGGCACCAGTAACTGTCTGATTGTATATCTGTCTCGCCTTTCCATTGAGTCTTGAGCATCGGCCAGATCCCCTGGCAACACCTCGTAGCACCATTCTCATTAGACCATAATGATCTATTTGCGAAGAAGATTTCTTCATATTAGTTTACTGCAATAGTGGAAGGTGACAATGATGATGATGAACACAGCAAAACAATACAAGAAAGAACACAGATTTAAGAAAGAAAGATAGCGGTAATCAAACACATTCCTGCCAAGCATTCGGTCTTTGGAAAGATACTTCTGGCAGATTTTGCCGAGGGCATACTTCATTCTGCGGCGTCCGTGGCTAAGGCGTTGCGAGTCCGACTCGTAGGCCAGCATACCGCGATCGAAACCCACTGCAGGCTGCGTGGATTTTTGTCGTGGTATGGGACGTCGCAGGTCGACCCAGCCTAAAATGGGTACCAGGATGGGCTGTCCTGGGAAAGTAAAGACAGCCGGCGTAATGCTGACCACATTACCCACAGTGCTGATGGTCTGTAAAAATATGGGTCGCTCTGCCCATATCCCCGATGCGCCGAAAGGCGTGAAAAGGGATCTTTACTTTTTTTTTACTTTACTTATACTTCATTCTATACAAAAACCTGGGAACCGCGTTTACGTGGTGGCTAGAAGCTCGCCTGCTTGTCTGATAGTCTTGGGTTTGAGCCTTTAAAATCGAATTATGTTTTTAGGTCAACCATGTCTAAACTGTCATCAAGTAATGTCCTCGGAAATAAAGACGGCGCTTAGAGCCAATTTGTCCATAAAAATTAAGTCTGCAATGATGAGGCCAATGCGCCACTTGTATGAAAATGCTTCTTACCTCAGTGTCTGATTAAACGTCCACTCAGCAGTGAGAGAAAGTCATTTTTTTGACACGCTTTTATTTTCTACAAGACAAGCAGAAGTAGTCATATTGTCAGACAGTTGCATTTACATTTCTCCGCTGACAAAGCTGGGTGATGGAAAGCCGCGGTTCTTTGAATGCAAGATCTGCTATTCCAGTCACTGATTATGGACAGCGATGTAAACTGCCTTGTCTATTGATGTACATTCCTCAATATTTGTACATGTGCATGCAAACACGCAATGATACATACATACAACAACATATACATACGCACTTACATACATGCCTTTACGCAAGCATTCATGTATATATATATATATATATATATATATATATATATATATATATATATATATATATACACACACACATATATATATATATATATATATATATATATATATATATATATATATATATGTATATATATATATATATATATATATATATATATATATATATATATATATATATATATATATATATATATATATATATATATATATATATATATATATATATATATATATATATATATATATATATGTATATATATATATATATGTGTGTGTGTGTGTGTGTGTGTGTGTGTGTGTGTATCACAGACACACGTACATACACGATTAAAATTGTTTGCTGGTGTTATAATATCTATGCGGGCAAGCGATTTTCAAGACCTTTATTTTCGCCTGCTATTTCCGATTTTTTATCTGTTCTGGAAATATGAATGCCGAAGCAGACGAAATGCACACACATAGACACACATACACACACACACACACACACACACACAGACAACACATATACATGCGCGTGTTCGCACTCACTGAGGCACACATAAACACACACGCACACCGCCATTCACACATAATTATTTGAAGAAGGAAGAAAAACCTACAAACACACACTCATACTTGTGCGCACGCATTATCCGCAGCTGTGTTGCCTCGCAGCGGTTTGTCGGCCACGACTGTGCGTTATCGAAAAATAAACTCCATCCAACCATGTAGCGATTATTTAAGTTGTAGTCGTAAATACAACACAGACTTTGAGATTGGAAAATAACAACAACAACAAATCAATAACGCCACAGACAAAGTGTACAAGTTAAAAGTCTATTATAAATCGCTGTAATAACTATGGCTAACAAAGACTGATGTTATAGCTTCGTACTGGAAAGTTGTAATTGCTTCATTTGATTTCTGTCTCATCCACCTGACGTCGGACAAGGCATGTAGGAAAATAAGAGAGAGACCAACAGTGTTTGAGACACACAAGAAAAAACAATAATATGGAAATGCAATATCAGAGAAACTTTACTCCAGTAGCAAACATCTCGGCACCAATCACAGAAACCACGTTCAACCGTTAGGTTATATTACGGCCTCTGACGACCTTCTTCTTCTGCCTTTCTATCCCCCAACGGAGCATAGGCCCTCAACCAACTCACGCCAAGTCGTTCTATTCTTCGCCATTGCCTGGAGCTCTCCCCATGTCCTCCCTATCTTTCTAACTTCATTCTCCAGCTCTCTTCTCCATGTTTTTTTGTTTTTTTTGGCCTTCCTTTATTCCTATGCCCCTGTGGGTTCCAATGTCTGACGACCTTAGGAAACAACAAATGTGGGGAGGGTGGTTGGTGGGGGCGGGGGGTCCTAAAATAATTGCGTCCTATATTACGGCGATAAATAGCAGGCTATACTGTTGTTATTGTGTGTTACATATATGACGACTGTGAGATTCTGTGGTTTAGAGTTTACAAAGGCAGTTTATATATTTGAAATAATAGGTTCGATTCGACTGCATGCGATTTGCGTCTGTTTAGATTATAGGTTTTTAAGTATATGGTACCGTTCCCTTTTTCTTCTTCTTCTTCTTCTTCTTCTTCTTCTTCTTCTTCTTCTTCTTCTTCTTCTTCTTCTTCTTCTTCTTCTTCTTCTTCTTCTTCTTTTCTTCTTCTTCTTCTTCTTCTCTTCTTCTTTCTTCTTCTTCTTCTTCTTTCTTCTTCTTCTTCTTCTTCTTTCTTCTTCTTCTTCTTCTTCTTCTTCTTCTTCTTCTTCTTCTTCTTCTTCTTCTTCTTCTTCTTCTTCTTCTTCTTCTTCTTCTTCTTCTTCTTCTTCTTCTTCCTCCTCCTCTTCTTTTTCTTCTTTTTTTCTTCTTCTTCTTCTTCTTCTTCTTCCTCTTTTTTTCTTTCTCCTCTTCTTCCTCTTCTTCTTTTTCTTCTTCTTCTTCTTCTTCTTCTTCTTCTTCTTCTTCTTCTTCTTCTTCTTCTTCTTCTTCTTCTTATTATTATTATTATTATTATTATTATTATTATTATTATTATTATTATTATTATTATTATTATTATTATTATTTCATGGAAAAAGATGTACGCCACTCTCCCGGCACTTGTACCCATTTCTTACCAGGTTTTATGTCCTCAACTGAAATGAGTTTATCGTGAACGTAAACACAATTATTTCTTAAATTTAGCAGAATACGAGGTTCTCAAAGAATTCCCGTTTCACAAGGAACTATTGAAATGAGTTCTTCAATTTGTCTAGTTTTGACTGCATATGCAAACTGAATTCAACGCATTGTCCAAACATAGCAAAATTAGTCTTGCTGCCTTTTTGAACTTCACATCTCTTTGAAGAGAGATTCGCTCCATATACAGCTACCAAAACAATATAGAGAAGCTTCTTAAATATAAAACTAAACATTTACCCGTATTTAACATGAACTGAAATTTAAGTAAGGAAAACTTTGTTCAAACAAATCATACCATGAGCGGAATGGGGGGACATATAAGGTCCGTTTGTGCGCTTTTTCCAATGCATTGTACACGGTGGTGTTTATTTCTGTTAGGTTGCTCCTGGTGATGTCGCCCAATCTCTTGTGTTCGTGAGGGGAAGATCACTTTCAAATTGCCAAGTTAAAGCCAGTGGGTATCACATATTTGAAATTATGTTTGTGAAAACAGATACTTACACATTTCAAATACACACTCTTATACATTTACATGTGGTCACTTAGTCCACATAAATGGTGGTTGGGTCGAGGAATGGGGGAGGGTGCAGGTGAGAGGGGAGGGGGAAGAGAGAAGGGTAGGAGCTTCCAGTTTGCAGCACCCATGGACAGGTTTTCTTTTACTATTTATCTGGGTTTTCTCCTTTACTGGTTGGCGTCCTTATTCCTACGTTTCCGACTGTATAATTTCCCCTTTCTTATCAAGCTCTTAGAGCAATATTTACACATATGAACGCTGCAGTTCAGCGGGGTTTATTGAGCCAAAATCGGTTAATATTTTCCGACTTAGCGGCCCAGGAACAAATTGACGGTTGCAAAAGGTCGCAGAACCTGCTAGTAAGTGATAAAAAGCGCTTCGCCATTTTGTCTGACATTTCCGCTGTCGAAGTGAAACCACAACCCAGAATTCCTCGACACTGGGTGACAACAAGCATTCGCGTCACAATGCACGTGACACGGGGACAGAGAAGAGTCTCACGCGTTGTCAGTGCTGACTCGCAGTCCAAGCACGACTTTCTGGCAGCTGTAATGTTACTGGCGGGCCTAGCCTAACCCCGGGGACTTTACGATTCTGCAGCCTTTACTTTTCTTCCTGCATCACCTCAGAACAGTATTGTCTGACTCAGCTTGTGGGCTTTTGTTGACTGACTTTGTGTTTCGTGAGCATGCATAGTTAGTGGTGAATAAGATCAGTTTTCCAAGTTGATTCAAATTGATTTCGTTAGAACGTAATCTATTTCAGCTTTTGCAGCTACGAAGTGGCACACAGATACTTCGAGCAGAGGGTTGCTTGATAATTATGTAACCGAAACCGTGTTTCTTAAAAAATATATATATCTATATACATATTTATGTATACATATTCGTGACGGACCTACTTTATGGATTTCGATACATTCTTCTTCCAATAATTGTTCCTCAATTTCTAAATGTAATTCTTCACTAAAACAGCTATCATACTGCCAGTTTTACAGTATGGAGAGAAAACAAAGCAACAAAGGAATGGATTCCACATCCGACAACGCTCCTAATGCTGTAAACACTCATGTTTTTATCACAGTTCCTGAAGAAGATCGTGGTTTTCGGGGAAATTTAAAACATTACGGGAGGAAATGTTTGGCTTGCAGCAAAGACAATCTTCTCCTTATAGGTCTATTGGCTTCAGTTGTGTTAGGGATTGTTATGGGAATCGCAATTCGCGGCACAAAGAGTTCCTTCAACAAACGAGAGATCATGTATATCGGATTTCCCGGAGAGCTACTCATGCGAATGCTTCAGATGCTGGTCTTGCCCATCATAATATCATCTCTCATTTCTGGTATAGCTGGCCTGGACGCCAAAACGTGTGGGAAAATGGGTCTTCGTACCATTGGTTATTTTGGGATCACCACGTTCATGGCCGTGTTTCTAGGAATATTCCTGGCTGTGACCATCGAACCTGGCGGTGGAGCTGATCGGAATGCCATGAGACGCTACGGGAAAGCTGAGTCGCTGAACTCTGCCGATACATTTCTGGATCTCATTAGGTTGGTATATCATAGATGTGCACATGTACTCTACGTTTTCTTCCCTCGTCCGTATTAATTTAATCATTATATGTTGTCAAATGAGTTGAAAAACAAGCAAGGGATAGACACAGTATAAACAAAGAGAATAATATCTAGACAGTTTGGTCACATGGTACAGGTAGGTCATGGACATTTCATAGCGCTATGAGGGCGTACTTTACTGTTTACGACATGATGCATGATGATAATGGTTCATATAAATGAATTATGATGATGATGATAATGAAGATACGCAATGAATACTGTAGCAGTCGCGAATAAGGACTGTTTTTGTCTTTAAAAGGTCATATAATCAAGCTGACCAAGTATTTATCGTTATGTTCTTCTTGTATCTTTTTAGACGAAGTTTATCACTCATTAGGTTTTTCCAGTTGTTCTTTTCTGCTGCTCACAGTATGATGCATAAATACTGCAACTGTACTCTTTGTACTCTTAATTTCTCTGATCATTGTATGGTGTTTATCTGATTCTTGCAGTAAATGCAACAACAAAGCATCTTTTTCACGCCAATGGTGCACCGGGCATATGTTTATGTTTATGTGTATGTTTATGTGTATGTAGACCGATCGATGCTCGATGTGTAAAGAGGTTAACACCGCACCCGCCACCTTTGCATCGCATGTAATTTCTTTGTAGCCACGACAGCTGGGTCAACGTAGGAGCCAAGGCCAATAATAATTAATTTAAAAAAAAAAACTGTCACACCAGTGTGGATTCAAACCCAAAAAACTTCGAAATGGCAGGTAACCGTCTAGCCGTTGCAGTGCAGCAACACCCTTTTTCTAGGAAATGTGGTTCGTTTGGCTTTTTTTTTTTTTTACGTTTATAGTAATCTTCACTCTGAAAATTATGTCATCATCTTCATCATCATAAATTTTCACTTTTGTCCTTAAACGATATGTGAAGGAACAGTGTGCGATCCATTGCTTGATGAAGGGCAACGACTATTGCCTTTTCGTGTCTACGTAGAAGCTATTTAATGTCATCAGTTTATACTCTTCTTTGCGGTTTCCTCGGTATCCTAATTTACAGTTGGTAATTTTACATACGTTGGCCTTTGATAATGTGCAAGTTTGGTACTAGTAGCACAGTGCTGGCAAGAAGGAAAGTTAAATGATATTAACCGCATTAAGCTCCGATTGCATGGTGGGTACAAAAGGCTTTGAAAAGGGGGAGGGGGACTGGACACAGACACAAACAATTACGGTGAAGCTAAAGTCCCTACTACTGACCTCATAGTTACTTAATCAAATGCTTAATTCTAGAATCTTCGGAAATAGTTGGATTCTTTTATGGCAAGGCGAGTACTAGTGTCCTCAGACTTCTAGCCCCATATTTTAAACCACAAAATAATGTACATAAAGTTAAAACGTTAAGGCACTCCGGCACCAAGGAATCGGGGTTTGGGGTCATTCTCATTATAATTTCCTACGGAGAGGTCTAGGTGGTGTGTCTTGTTTAAGAGGCAGAAAGAATAATAATAATAATAATAATAATAATAATAATAATAATAATAATAATAATAATAATAATAATAATAATAATAAGGGATTGAAATCAAAATCTAATTTTTTTGTTGTGAAAAAGGGGAGTTGCGGGAAAGGGGGAGAAGTGTTGGGTGGTGAATTCGCTATTAAAAAGTAAAGAACAGATGTATCATATTTCCTATGTAGTCACCACTGCGTCCAGTGCAATCCCCCAGCGCCGATATGGTGCTTGGATAGCTGTATAAACAAAAGAGTTTTGGTTGGACGTGAAACAACTCATGAACCACATATATGCTGTACCTCTTCCTAGGACAGAAAACACTCTTTCCTCCTAATCTCTTTTAGTTATCCAAATAGACGGAAATCACTTATGGTATACACTGAATCTGGAAGTCTTCAGTGGTATCAATCTTCGTACGTGCAATGTGTGGTCGAGCATTGTCATGGTGCAAAAAAAAAAGGACATCTTTACGCAGAAGTCCACTTCGTTAGGATTTGTTTGCGAGTCCAAGATGATTCTTAAGAAGATCTGTATTCTCATCACTGGTGAAAATGTTCCCTCTTGTCATGTAGTGCTCTAAAATAATGCCTCATTCACCCCAAAAGAGAGTATAATCTTCCCTGTTTTTGGCCACGTGCTAAACTTCTTCGGTTTCACCTGTCATTTGTGGCGTCATTCCTTGGTTGCTCTTTTCATGACCTGCTCGTGGTATTGAATCAAATGTTCATCGTCACTAACAATTCTTGATAGGTAACCATAACCTTCTGCTTCAGAGCACCGCAAGAGTTCTAGACAAGCAACAGTGCTTCGTTGTTTCAGTTCTGGAATAAGATGTAACACTCAGCTTGCAGACACTTTGAGATACTGTAGGACATCATGTGCTGAAACTTGACTGATGTCATGATGTGTGGCGATGTCACTTATGGTCAATCGGCGGCTTTATGTGCGAGGCCTTCAACGGCTGCAATCGACCTTGCGATCACTACTCGGTTGACTGACCGGTATTGAAAATTATGTTACATAAGTCAAGAGGTTTTGAAACCTTCCTACTTCACCCCCCTCCCTCTCTCTCTCCACCAGCCCTCTCTTTAGAATGAAGCCCTGGAACCCACATGAAAAGGTAGCCTGAATAAGCCACCCAGAGTTTATAATACCAGGACTGAGTAGCTTTAAAAAAAGCTCCACGATGTATGCTCTATCAATCATGTAGCATGAATAATCCAAACAATATTCATTACCAGAACTATGTCGCCTAAACAGGTTACCCGACTGATTGTATATCTAAACCATATATGCCGGTCATGTTATTGACTTTGTTGGTTTTATAAATTTGAATTAAGTGCCTGAACAGAAATCTATTTTGACTTCCGGTAATTCTGGACAGAAGCTGTCATCATTGGCATATGTGACGCTTATTGCAAAGAGGCATACGACAAAAGGCATAATCGTGTAGTCTTGTCCAGTTTTGTGGCCATAGGGATTAATTTAGAGCTTTCAGGCATGAGCGTTTAATTAAGGGCACAGTATTAAAGGAGAATATTTATTACACTGCCACAGAAACTCTTGGTCCTGCCATCAACAAGCAAATTAACTGGTTCAACCCTTGAACATGTCGACAGCTCTTACCCAAAACCAGAATGGACACAAGTATACACCAATGGATCATTGTAGGAAGCAGCAAGGAACGGAAGACCTGGTACGGTCATTAAGCTCTGAGATGGGACCACAGTGGAAACGTCATGTGCCTCTTGGAAACTCAGCAAACTAAATCAGCAAAACTGTTCCCCTGTGTGTATGCATGTCAGTCCTCCAGACGACTCAAAGCAATTCGTGAGACAGCATGGAGAGAGAACTGTCCTAAAATAAACAATCATACTGTTTTCAAGTGAGTCTCAACTCACAACGTCAAAGCAGGAAATAAGTCAGCGAACCGACATGCAAACACACACACACACACACACACACACACACACACACAAATGGAATAAAGCAGAAACAATACATCCATTCATTGTCATTACCAGAAATCAAAACTCTAATCAAAGAAAAATAAAATGAATTGTGGAGAGAACAAACCAACACTAAACATCCACAAGGCCCCGTCAGCAGACTCAACAGAAAACAACCTGCAACAATTCTCCGTCTATGAAAAGGACACTGAATAAAATAAAGACTGTAGAGTCCTAACAGGAAGGACCCCAAACACCTGAGCACATTCTGCAGACCTGCCCACTATACCCTCACTTTAAAAAAAAACTGGTCTCAAGAGAAAGTGTGCAGAGCAAACTATAGGGAACCAAGCAGGATCTTCAGCTGAAATGCGAGTTTATAGAGACAAGTCACCTGATGGTCTGAACTGAGCATACGAAACCGAACACAAAGAAAAGGAAGAAGAAACGAATGCTTAACGTCATGATATTTAAAAACAAGTTTCAGTCCAGATACCTTATTTAACCTTGGTACTTTATTTCTTATTCACCCCAAACAAAGACAAAAAAGGAAATTCCTGAGTTTCCGGAAAAGCCCCAGTGTGTTATAGTTTGGGGTTAGGGTTAGGATCTTTGTTAGCCCAGAACGACTCTAACCCTAACCCTAACTCTAAACATAACCATAACCAATAACCATAACCCCAACCCAAAACTACCATTACAATATTGGAACGTTCCAGGGAACTCCGGTTTTTTCTTTGTTTAGGGTGAAATAAAACATAAAGTACCTCAGCCTTTAAAGAAGTCATTATTAGGCCACTGGCAACTGTTACCCTATCTCAGTGCAACATGCAGTCCTGTGCGGGTAAGGACCATTTTCTGGATTAAGACCTTCTTCTTCGTCTTTGTTCACCGGTTGTTAGCTCTTGAGTAAAGTCCAGATTGTTCGTCCGTTAGGACTTTGGCTTTGTGCTGGAACCTTAGTTTTGTGTTTAATTTAGTTTCACTGGCTTTTTTCTGCCCAATTGTTTCTTTCTTGCCGCTGGGGCGTTTGCACCTCGACTTCGAATAAAGATCTAAATTAGTCTACTCTTAGTAGTAGTACATTTTGCCCTACTAGGACATCACAAAAGCGATAAACACTATATGACACAAAGTGCCACCATGTGGATGAGGATCACCCGTGGAAGGTCCCGGAAACAGCGTTCAGCCATTACAGTGAAAAAGTAAAGGACCATTTTTCACGTCTGTAGGCTTATAGGGCATATAGGGCTAGACTTATATTTTATAGACCAAAGGCACAAGATAAGTGATGTGGTCAGCATCACGCCAGCCGCCTCTACTTCTCGGAAATGCACTCGGTACCCACTTAAGGCTGGGTCATTCTGGGAGCCAAGGTCATTTTTGAAAAAAAAGTCCAGCTCCGCCAGGGAGCGAACCCTCGACCTTCCGATCCGCGGCGCGCGTCTAGCCGCTCTGTCACGGCGACTCTCCGTTCAGCCATTAGACCATATTTATGGCCGGGCTTTATTGCGGCCCCTG